TGCATACCCTCTTAGCATTCTCGCACGCTATGTTGCTCCTGGGAGACACCAACTAGAGCACATGGTTGCAGCGAAGAGGGTGTTGCGCTACTTGTGCAGTACGTCGGGCATGGGGCTAGTGCTTGGAGGGCAGAGTCCAGTGGTCCTCACTGGTCACGTAGACGCTTCTTGGGCTGACGCTCAGGCTACGCAGCGGTCGTCACAGGGTTACACCTTCAGCCTTGGTTCCGGCTCTGTTTGGTGGCGGGCTACTCGCTCGTCTTCTGTTCTCGGCTCCAGTTGTGAGGCTGAGATCTATGCAGGGGCCATGGCTGCTCAGGAGCTTCGCTGGCTCACCTACCTGCTGACCGACCTTGGAGAGCCGCCTCGTTCTCCTCCAGTCCTGTACGTAGACAACAAGGCCATGCTGGCCTTGTGTCGAGAGCAGATACTGGAGCACAGAACAAAGCACATTGCTCTCTGCTACTTCCTTGCTCGTGAGCTACAGCAGCGTGGTCAGTTGCGGCTTGCGTACGTGGCCTCTGAGGCCAACACTGCTGATGTCTTCACCAAGGCACTTGCGCCTTGTGATCATCAGCGCTTTTGCACCCAACTGGGTCTTGTACCTGTCTTGCCTCACTTGCTCACCTCTTAATCTTGCTTGTACTGTTACATATAGATATACCTGCTCTTGCTTGTGTAGCCTTATATATATATGTACTCATGCATGTGAACTGGCCTTGTGGCCTTGAACTTGTGCTCGGAATGTGTGGTGACTTTGTGATCCACCCTGAGCTTGCTTTGCTTTGCTTTACTTGACTGGTCTTGTGACCCCTAGTTCTCCCCCACTTCGCCTATGGGGGTGTGTCAAACATAATATATGTTGTGCTTGTTTAGGCTACAGTGGGTTAGCTTATAGGGGGTACACAATTCTAGGGTTAGGTACTTGTACTGATTTCACTGCTAGTTCAATCATTCCTGTTCATTCATTTCAACAGTATATCACCCATACCTCCTGTTAGAAGTTTGACTAGAGCCCAGAACGTATCCTCTCAATCAGAATCCCCCGTTCCACTATTCAGTTTCAGTCCAAACCCCCAGTTTCCACTATTCACTCCCAGACCTCGTCTCTACTATCCAAGAACTAGCCATGCCTCTACTTACCCCCTGCACAAGTCCCTGTTCCTCTACCCAGTCCCAGCCCAAGAGCCCAAGTTTCTCTACTCATGTCAGAATAAGGCCCCTCCTCCCTCCAACGCCCTACCACTCCCACCCAACCAAGTCTATGCAAGCCTTTCTCCCCATGCCTCCTCCCCTCGCCCCACCCCACCCTCCCCCTCTCGCCTCTCCCCGTTCTCCCCCACCCCTTCCCCATTCGCGAGCCCAAGTCCTCTTTGCGCACGCACGCCCCGTGACCAAGCCCCCCATCACTCCCCATTCGCCACTTCCTTCCACCCAATTCCTGTTGCTTTACTCCAACTTATCCAACCAGTAAATACATAGAGCTAGTAAGCTTGAGTAGGCGATTTATATACCAGATGTAACAGGCTTCCATGAAAAGGGTGACCTAACTACAATCCGGGGCCTTGCTGCGGAGGGTGTTCGAATGATGAAACTGGTCGGCTTAGCAAAGTCCCTCTTTGTGTTGGCTAGGGAAGTTGTGCACCCACATACCATATTTGATTCAAGTGAATGTACTGTTGTGAGGCCTCATCAAGAGTAGGCGCCACAACTTTTGCCTAAGAAAGGAGTTATTAAAATTGCACATAGTTGAGAACTTAAGCTCAGTCATAGCGTGTTACCATAATCACCTAAATACAGGATTCTCCCCACATAAGACACCCCCGGGTTTTTTAAAATGGAAGTGGATATTTAATTTTGGCAGGTTTACCGGAAGACCCCGTTTTTTAGTGTCTGATATTTATAAGACACCCCCTCCCATGCATTGTTAGAATTTGAGGCAGCCTGAGCTCTCAGCGCAATAAAAAAAGAGACAACCCTGATTTTTCTGGGCAAAAAAAAAAAATCAGAATCTTGAAACTTTAGGGCATCAGCTTTACTCCATCATGTTCCTCTCAGGGCAGAGCAGGGGGGGTAAGAGCATGGGAGGGCAGAGCAGGGGAGGGCTGAGCAGGGGAGGGCAGGGGAGTGCAGGGGGGAGGTAGAGCGGGGGGGGACAGAGCAGTGGGGAGCGGAGTACGAGGGGGCAGAGTAGGAAACACTATAGGTGGGGATGTGTTTACTCAGGAGAGGCGGGAAAAAAATAGGGAGTGCACTCTTCTACACTCATCCTGACGCTTTAGGGCAAAGAAATACACATATCCTCAGGGCACGTCATATACAGTCATCCTGAAAATAGGGGGTGAAAATAGGTAGTGATGCACGAGGTGGGGGCGGAGGGCGCACTGCCGCGGTACTCCCCACTCCCACTCCTCCCCCCCCCACCCCCCCTCCCCCCCGTTCTCCCCACTGTAGTGGACCATGAACTGAAGTCGATGGCAATGCGGGCAGTGGAGGCTGACGGCACACTGCCGCGGTACTTACACGAAGGAGCTGGGGGAAGCCCATCCCCCATACACCCCAGTCCTCTCCACAACCCCCCTCCCTCATCCTTTTTTAGTTCCTTCAATCACATCCCCTTGCGCTCCCCACCCTCATCCCCTCCTTCCCCCCTTCCCCCTCCACGGCCACAAGCAGACCCTGGTAATCTACTTTTGAGGGGCCTCAAAAGTAACCTTCCCCCTCCCACCCTACCCCCTCCCACCCTACTTTTGTATTTGGGCGTACATTATGCGCTGCCACATCAGATTGCAATGGAAATGTATTGAAATCCCTGGTTAGAGCACGGCGCCCAGATGGTTCAGCATGTTAGCATTCAGTATATTGAAGTCTGTTTTTATTTAGAATCCATGCTCAAAGATTGTCGCGGGTAGATTTCAGCGACATCCCAGATCAAGGGATGCCATAGAAACGAGGTGAGCAAGAATGATTTGCAAACATTGAGAGTGAGTCTAGATGTATCAACCTTGGCAGGTGCCGACACTGGGTTTCCAGTGATTTTTGGAGATTTTGGAAAAGGACCAATACTTTCAATTATGCTAATCAATCATCCCAGCTGGTCTGAATTGAATATGGGAGCCTGATCCCACAACCAGGAGATTCTGTCAATGCAGAAAAAAGGAGAGGAAAGCTCATGTCAAACCTCGCATTTTCCAGCCTGGATCTTCACTTGGTCTGGAATACACACTCTTGTCGCTTTGACGAGTTTATCGATGCAATCGTACCCGTTGGTCCGCCTGTAACAACCTTTGATTCCGCGAAAGTACTTGACCTGCAGGCCGGTGCAGCGGTCACCGGTCCCAACCACGTACGCACGACTCTTGGGGCACACCCCTTGCGTGAAGCTGAACGAGCTGCCTATGCACGCCTGCATAGGTGGGTAGGTAGTTAATTAAGTGGGTGGGTGGTGGATAATTAGGTGGCTAGGTAGGTGAATGTAGGCATGCAGGTATGTGGAGAGGCAGGTAGGTAAGTTGGTTGTTAAGTACGTCGGCAGTTGGTAAGGTAAGTAAGTGGGTGGGTATGTAGGTAAGTAGCTAGGTGGGTGGGTAGGTACGAAGGCAGGAAGGTAGGTTGGTATGTAGGTAGGTAGGTAGGTAGGTAGGTGGGTAGATATGTGGGTAGGTAGGTGGGTATGTAGGTGGGTATATATGTGGGTAGGTAGGTGGGTAGGCAGGTGGGTAGGCATGTTGTTGGGTGGGTGGGTAGGCATGTGTGTAGGTAGATGGGTACGTAGGTGGGGTAGGCATAAAAGTAGGTATATGGGTGGGTAGTTATGTGGGTAGGTAGGTGGGTAGGTGGGGTAGGCATGTCGGTCGGTAGGTATGTGGATAGGTATGTGGGTAGGCAGGAGGGTAGGTATGTGGGTTGGTATATGGGTATGTGTATGGGTGGGTAGGTATGTGGTTAGGTAGGAGAGTAGGCATGTGGGTAGGTAGGTGGGTAGGCATATGGTGGGTAGGTAGGTGCGTAAGTAGGTGGGTAGATAGTTGCCATGCATGACAGTGGGGAAAAAGATGAAAGGGAGGCTAAATGAGGTGGCTGTGTGTGCATGCTGAATGAAGGGGCAAGACGGAGTAGCTCCGATGGCTCTGGAGGACTAGAGAGACATGGGCTGGAGACATGGGCTGGAGACATGGGCTGGAGACATGGGCTGGAGGTGTGAAGAGCTGTGAAGCGGAATGGTGAAGTAGATGTCAGCACGCCTCTCTCTTCTATATTCAGTATCTCTACTAGTATCCTTGTTTGAAGGTAGTTAGACTAACTTCATCGGGTGACAAACTTACTCTAACTGGGATTGGAAATCCAACTCGGGCCAATCATTTGTCCCCAAGGTTTGGTTTTGGAGATGATTGGACCCGCAAAAGCCTTGACTCTCTTGACCATGTTTATAAGGTTCCCCCAATAATTTCTCAACCCAAATTATTGGGAGGGGGGTCTCGGGTAGAAGCAACAGCCAGGCAAGGCGAGTAGCGGATGCCATAGAGTTACGTGGATGGAAGCAACATGTCTGGGGGAGAAGAGATTGATATGCATAGGCGGGTGTGAACCTAGATGCGAAATGGAGGGAGGGTTTGGTAGGAAGAAGAGGCAAGAGGAGACGTAGGGGGGAGAATTTAGAGAAGCTAAAGGGTAGGAAAGGAGGGGGGAGAGAGTGCGAACGGTGAAGGAACAATGTCGAGAAAAAGAGGGTGGTCCTGCGTAAGTGGAGTGCGAGGAGGAGAGCAGACCTCGAAGCCTGTGAGGCTGCCAACGTCAGTCTTGGGCACGAGGCGGCTGCACTTGATGCCGGGGTTGAGGCGGAAGAACTCAATTGGGGAGAGTGGCGGGGAAGGCACGGATCGGATCTGCTCGCACGTCTCCCCGGCCTGCACCAGATAGAACTGTGAGCACACTGGGATGAGCAGCGCCGCTGCACTCTCCGCCCTCCGCTCCACACACACCGCCTGGCTGGGTGGCAGTTATGCGGTGTTGCTGGCGCCACCGGAGCAGTCGAGGCCGGGGTTGAGTGCTGCGAAAGCTGCTGCGCAGGGCGCAGTGGGAGTAGAGCAGCCGGCGGTGAGCGAGAAGTAGGTGGCTAGCGACTCGCATGTGTCACCCTGGGAGGATGGGAGGTAAGAGGGGAGGATGGGGCGGGGGGAAGGAGAGGGAACAATGAGTGGAGACGAGAAGGTGGGGAACAGAGGGAAGGGCGAGAGGGGAGCAGGGGAAGGGATGGAGGTACACACTGGTGTGAGGATTGGGAGTAGGCATTATTGGATGCGGGGAATGTAGTATTGAGGGGCCAGTGAGGGAAAGAAGGGCCAGTGTAGGAATAAGGCAAGCAGGCAAGCAAGCTGGTAGGCAGGCAGGCAGAAATGCAGACAAGGCGGAATGAGAGGGGCGGACCTCGGAGGTGGTGTAGTAGACGGAGCAGGGCGTGAGGCTGGGTGGCTGGAGCACGCTCACCACCGTGCCGACCACGAGAGGAGCCCTGCAGCTCAGAGTCTGGAGGGAAGGGGAAGGAAGGGTGAGGGAAGGAGGGGGAGATTTATGAATTGACTTGAAAGGTGAAAGCAGAAAATGGTGTGCTCGGGCTCCGGGTCTGGTGGGGAGGTGGGGAGAGGATATGGCAGGGAAAAGGAGGAAAACAAGATGTGAGGGGGTGTGGGTGCAGCTCAAAAGTCCAAAGTTTGAGAAGATCCTTATCTAAAGTGTGACGAGGCACAGGACAGAAAAGCTTTACTGTTAATGCAAAGACGCATTGGGAAAACAGAGGCTTGTTGGGAATGCAACGAGGAGCAGAGGCGTCGTGGCCCACCATGCCCGGGACCTGAGAGTCGCCTCACCAGGTCTCAAGACCAGAGCTGCTAGTAGTGGGTGCAAAGCAGCAAGCCGATCTTAGATCTCATGGCTCACCATGTTCACTCTATGAGGAAAGCTAGTCCTCACTGGATTCTGGGCTAGTTATCACCAATTATTGTACTCACTAAATTCTGATCTTGGAACTAGGCGAGAGTGAGGCCGTACACGGATTGGACTTGTGTGGCGCGTCAAAAGCGACCAACTGGGCTCACCGGGTTCTGGTGTTGGAGCAGGGCGAGTGTGAGGCCATACACAACGTTTGAGACGTCTTTAAGGAGACTTACCGGGTTGTGGTCTTAGAACTGGGCGAGTGTGAGGCCGTACATGGGGTGGATGTCCGCACATGTGAGCCCCTCCATCACCACCGCGTACTTGCTGCTGGAGTCACCTGTTCAGTGCGGTGCAGAGTGGTGCAGCGTAGTGGGTACGGTGCGAATGGGTATGGTTGTTTGGTTAAAGAGGAAGTGGAGGTGAGTGAGGAGTGGTAGTTACGATTACAGGTGGGACTTTGGTGGTACCGTAGCATGAATACGAGTGCAGCAGCGAGTGGAAACAAACGTGTTCCTGAAGTGCCTTGGAAACAGCTTGGCAGTGGCATAGCTTAGCACTGCAACGTGGAAGGCTACGCTTTGTGGTGGCATACTGAGAGAAAGAGTGGGAACAAGTGGATGCTAGAATGAGAGGCATCTGGAGCGCAAGAGGGGGAGGTTACCAGGAGCACAGGAGAAAGTGCCATCAACAGTGGTGCCCTGCCTGAAGCCCGGAGGGCACACACACGAGTACGACCCCTTGCCATCATTCACACACGTGCCCACTGCACATGGATTGCGCACCGCTGCCCTGCACGCGTCCTCTGGGGAAAATAAAAAGAGGTATTGGAGACAGCTAAGTTACGCATACTATGAGGTGACTGACAGATGGTGGCAGAGGCATGTCAAACACGTGTTGGGTCAAACACGTGTTGGGTCAAACACGTGTTGGGTCAAACACGTGTTGGGTCAAACACGTGTTGGGTCAAACACGTGCTGGGTCAAACACGTGTTGGGTCAAACACGTGTTGGGTCAAACACGTGCTGGGTCAAACACGTGTTGGGTCAAACACGTGTTGGGTCAAATGCGTGTTGGGTCAAATGCGTGTTGGGTCAAACACGTGTTGGGTCAAATACGTGTTGGGTCAAACGCGTGTTGGGTCAAACACGTGTTGGGTCAAATACGTGTTGGGTCAAACACCTGTTGGGTCAAATACGTGTTGGGTCAAACACGTGTTGGGTCAAATACGTGTTGGGTCAAACACGTGTTGGGTCAAATACGTGTTGGGTCAAATACGTGTTGGGTCAAACACGTGTTGGGTCAAATACGTGTTGGGTCAAACACGTGTTGGGTCAAATACGTGTTGGGTCAAACGTGTGTTGGGTCAAACACGTGTTGGGTCAAATACGTGTTGGGTCAAACACGTGTTGGGTCAAATACGTATTGGGTCAAACACGTGTTGGGTCAAATACGTGTTGGGTCAAATACGTGTTGGGTCAAACACGTGTTGGGTCAAATACGTGTGGGGTCAAACACGTGTTGGGTCAAATACGTGTTGGGTCAAATACGTGTTGGGTCAAACACGTGTTGGGTCAAATACGTGTTGGGTCAAATACGTGCTGGGTCGAATACGTGTTGGGTAAAACACGTGTTGGGTCAAACACGTGTTGGGTCAAACACGCGCACGAGGAGACTGATAAGAGCGTGTGAGGTGCAGATTAGCTAAGACGGATGGCAACTGCACTTGTCCTCACCAAGGCAAGTGACTGCACAGGCAGCAAGAAGGATTAGCCTAGACAAGACCCAGCGCAAATGGAGTGCTCATGGTGAAAAAAGAGTTACATGGTGAAAGAGCTGCATGGTGAAAGAGCTGCATGGTGAAAGAGCTACATGGTGAAACAGTTATATGGTGAAACAGCTATATGGTGAAACAGCTATATGGTGAAAGAGATGCAGAACTCGAGACAGGAGAGCAGAAGCACCTGAGACAGGAAGCATAAATACCAGTTGGGAGTATCATAGGCTAAGAGGGCTCACTGTAAGCACAGGTGCATGAGCGGTTAGGATTGCGAGCCTCCACAAACCGTGTTTGAGTCAACTCAAAAGTGAGACGAAGCACCCGAGACAGGAAGCCGCAATATTTCTTATAGTAGTATGATAGGCTAAGTGGGCTCACTGTAAGCATAGGTGCGTGAGCCATCCGCATTGCGAGCCTCCACATATCGCGGGTCGTTGCAGTCGCAGCGGTTGCTGCTCCCATCGGGCTCAACAGTGCACTTGAAGCTGCCACACGGGTTGAACAACGGCCCAAAAGCCTCACTGCTCTTCCCGCTCGCGTTGCACGAGTCAGCAGCAATGCGCACCACCGGGTAGATCCCAGGCAACGAGTTGATCCCACACACTCCGTCGCCCCCTGGATGTCCATCCGCATTTGCCCGCCATCGCCCCACTGCGGGCCCCATGAGTTGCGGATGATCCAGAAGGGCGGCGCCATGTGCGGGAAGGTGGGATCAGGGCCTGTGAGGCGATAGCCTACCAGCAGCACCACGTGGTTCAGGTTGTATGTGAAGCACTCTGAGTCCGCGTACTTGGATAGCTGTTGGGGGGAGGGGAGAGGGGGAGGGGAGGAAGGGGGAGAGCTTTGGGGGCGCATGGGTAAAAAATAGTTTGGCAGGATCTGCCCACCAGCAGCACCACATGGTTGAGGTTGTATGAGAAGCACTCTGGGTCTGTGTACTTGGATAGCTGGGTGGGAGACAAGGAGGGAGGTGAGAAGGGGGCAGCATGGGATTTATGTCTGTGGCCAACCCTGCGTTATCGAGGGCGTGCATTTATGTGTGTGTGTGTGTGTGTGTGTGTGTATGTGCAAGCGTGCATGCCTGTGTACGTGCATGAGTGTGAATGGACCCAACACATAATGGTGAAGGAGGAGCAAACGTTCATCTAGCTCCATTCGCACTCACGCTCACCCCATCGTGGTTCAGGAAGGAGGGGGCGGTGGCCTGCACATGCACCACCACAGGCTGGCGCTGCACGACCAATAGCAGCCCAAACCAGCCGTGGAATGCCGTGCGCTCAAACCCGTTCACCCTGTACGGACCCCCCAGTGCTTTTCTCTGTTGTGAGGAGAGAGAGGATGGGTAGAGCAAGATGGGTAGAGGGGCCTATTTTTGGCGCCTCAAAAATAAATTGTTCACCCTGTACGGACCCCCGGTGCTTTTCTCTGCAATGATGAGGAAGGGGAGTACGGGAAAAAGAGGGGTAGCGGAGGAAGGGTAGGAGAGGAGGGGTAGGGGAGGAGTGGTAGGTTAAAGGGAGGGGTAGGGGAGGAGTGGTAGGTTAAAGGGAGGGGTAGGGGAGGAGTGGTAGGTTAAAGGGAGGGGTAGGGGAGGAGTGGTAGGTTAAAGGGAGGGGTAGGGGAGGAGTGGTAGGTTGAAGGGAGGGGTAGGAGAGGAGTGGTAAGTTGAAGGGAGCGGTAGGGGAGGAGTGGTAGGTTAAAGGGAGGGGTAGGGGAGGAAGGGTAGAGGAGGGGGATAATAGGAGGTGAGGAAAGTAATGAGGGAAGGGGAGAGGACAACACAGAAGGGGGAGAATTATCAGGCAAGCAAAAGCACACTCTTTGAACAACCCCAAGCCTGGGTTGGGTGAGCTGTTTGATGGCATGTGATCTCCATACTGAAGTAGTGGTTGATCAGCTTCTTTTTGTACATCTTGTTGCTTACATTACATCGGATGTGAGTGCAGCCAACTCACCCGAATAAGTGCAAGCACGGATCCATAGGACCGCAACATGCCAAGGCTCATCATGCCTTGCGCCCATTGTGGCATTGGACACGACAGTTGCAAGACACAAGGCTGATGATCAGTTTGAGACTTCTCAAAACACGACACCAGACTCGAAAATGCTCATGATGAGAACTTGAAGAGGTGCGGTGTTCAGCACCTGCTAAGACACCTGGTGATGACGAGGCATCTGACGAAACATCTGGCAATGACTAGAGTCACAAGACCTTATGAGACACCTGACTATAGCAAAACACAGGAAAAAAACATGTTAATATGAAGCAGTTTTGCTGGACAGACAACCAGGAACAAAACACCGCCGATTTCACCGCCACCACAATTTCAGCTGCAGTAGCAGCAGGAGAAGCAACATCACCACCACCACTACCACACATGAGCAGATATGAAAATTTGGACGACCCATAAATATGAAAACCTACATTCGTATTTCGTGTCAGGCATGATGCTGACAGTAATTGGATGTTCAAAAGGCACAAAGTGGCTTGAAATTCAGGCAAATCAAGGTTCGGAAGATGCAAACCCAGTCACTTTGTGTCTTCCAAACCTCCAACTTCGAGTATGACATGAGATACGAATGTATCCTAAGAAACGTAACCTACCGATCCGGGGGTCCGGCCTCCACCACATGAGATCCCAAATGCTTTCGCAAGTTGAGCAAGGACAGGCATGCTGCACAGCGGGCTCGTGCTGCCGCTGCCCTCCTTCTTGCCCCTGCCCCTCCTCACTGCCACCGCTCCAGCCTTCCCTTCCTCCACCAGCCCAACGCTGGCCTTGGCGTTGAGTGTGACGAGGTACTGGAAGGCCAGGGAGGGCGAGTTTCCCTGCGAGCATGAGGAGCCGAGGGCTTCACGCAGCTGTGTGACGGAGAGGAGTGGCACGCGGGCGAGGTTGGTGAGGATGCCGTAGGCCATTTCCACGCTTCCCACCACGGCATATGCCCAGCAGTCGCCTGGACAGGGGGAGGGGGTTGAGGGGGAGCAGAGGGAAGAGGCTGACGGGTAAAAGGAGGGCGAATAGACAAGAGAGGGCGAAGAGAGACAGGTTCTATGCTGACCAGCACGGTGAATGCCCGGGAATCGCCTGAAAGAGAGGGTGATGGAGGGGAGGGACGGGAGAAGATGTTGTAGACTGCTTCTATGCTGCCCAACACCACATACGCCCAGCAGCTACTTAGGATGAAGCAAGGAAGAGGCTGCGAGGGAAGAGGAAGGGAAAAGGGGTCCGATCCCATCCCACCCCACCCATCCCCATCCCCATCTCCATCTCCTTCCCTATCCCCATCCCCATCCCCATCCCCATCTCCATCCCATCTCATTCCATCCCCATCCCATCCCACCCCACCACGCGCCCCATCCCTTTGGACAAGCGCCCACCGCAGGCGCCCTGGTTCTTGACAGGCCACGGCAGCCCCAGGTCGGCCGAGAAGAATGCCTGGCTCACAACCCACACCTCCTCCTCCTCCCCTTCCCCCCCTAATCCTGCTCCTCCTGGCGCCTCCAGAGGCTGCACGCCCGCTCTGGCATAGCGGAAGAAGGGGTTTACTCTCACTGGGGACAGTGATGCCTCGCTTAACTGGAACCCAAACTTCTGGCCTGCAGGGAGGAGGAAGGGTAGGATTGGGTAGAGGCAATATTATCAGAATGTCAATTAGCTTGCAAGCTAGATTTCGAAGGCGTGTCAGGGTTGTTTCTCAACTCCAAACAAGGGTAAACCAATATTGTACACTCAAGATAACTGCTAGCGTCTATATGTACCTAAAAATGCTAACATGCGGGCTAAAAGAGTAGAGGGAATATACAAAAGCAGTGGCGGGGCATGTGTGACGAAACTACGAAGACTGGAGTAAGAGTTGGGTGACTGGGGTGAATTGGACGAAAGAGTATTTAACAATCTAGAAGGGAAGGCTGCCAAGACGAGCCAGTACAAATCAAGTCCGTCATACCTGTGAGGGCTGTTGGCTGTGGTAGGCCTGGATAGGAGGGATGATGGAAGACGAGAGGATGCAAAGAAAACAGGAGAAAAGAGGCGAGGCAGGTAATGGAAAAAAAATCAGTTAAAGGATGTGTAACCAGTGAAAGGACATGTAACCAGTGATGGGCATGTAACCAGTAATGGGCATGCAACCAGTGAAGAACATCTAAGCAGGGCAGCAGGGAGCAGCAGCAGCGACCTGTGTTGATGTTCCACGTGAGGATGGAGTGCTACTGCGGTGAGTCCGAGGACGAGGCCGTGAAGCCCATGAGAAACGATGCCTCCTGCTTGCTGGGCTTCAGGTAGCGGCACAGGGACACCTGCACTGACAGCGCTGCCCTGCTTAGCTGGGGGGACGCGCTGGCAGAGAGAAACACTTGCAGTGATCCAACACCAGGGGGGGAACCAGAGGAAGAGGAAGAAGAGGAGGAGGAACGAGTGGGGTCGAAGATGACCCATGCATGCTTTGGCTTGCCGTCGTTGAGAATCACAGGTGCTTTTGCTGTTGCAATGGAGGTGGTTTTTCCGCTCACACGGAGCCCCACATGGTTGTTGTTGGGATCGTTGGCATCGGTATTCTTGGCTGTGTCAAACTCCACAGTGATGCTGCGCTCATCCATGCCTGCATACCCCAAGCTGCCGCTGCCACCACTGCCGTCGCTGCTGCCTGTGCTGCCGCCCGTGACAGTGTCACTGGCTGCAATCACAAAGGCAAAACCGTCCCCTATTTCTGTTGTGGCGCTTGCGGTGGCGGGTTTGAGAATGGTGAAGGAGAAATAGACGGTGAAGGCGAATGGGCGGCCGCAGGTACCGGCTTTCAGAGCGAAAGAGAAGAGCTGGATGGGCACCTGGAAGAAGGCTGCACCCCACGTGTTGGGCTGAAAGGCTGTGAGTGTGATGGTGCTGTCAGTCGCTACTGCCGCCCGCCCTTTAGCTGCTGTCTGCGCTGTTGTAGGCCTGATGTCGTATGGGTCACCTGGCACTCCTGGCAGAGGATGGGGAGAGCGTGGGCAGGGAGCGAAGGGATTTTTTAGTCGACTCAAAAATCCCTTTCATTGCAATCTGTGCTGATGTGAGCTTCATGTCACATGGGTCACCTGGCAGAGGGGGAGAGTGTGTGCAGGGAGCAAGGGGACGGAAAGACAGATGCGTGGGGAAGGGCAAGTATAGGTGAGTGCAAAGGGCAAGGAAAGATGAGTAGGGAAAAGGCCACCCTCATAGCCTGGCAGACGGAGAGTGTGGAAGGGGGGGGGGGGGTGGTGTGGGGAAAGAGGGAGTGGGAGTGGGAGCGAGCGAACGGGGAGAAACGTGGAGTGGGTGAGGAAGCAGGAAGGTGTGTGGAGAAAAGTTGGGAAGTAGGCAAACTGGCAAGTGGTTAAGCAGGGCTGTGTGCAGAAGGCTGTGATGGGAAGGAAAGGAGGTTGGGTGTTGTATGGAGGCTTTGTGCTTCAACACTGCACCGGCTGTGTCTTCTGCTGTGGAGCGCCCTCCTGGGTTGGTGGAGCGAGGGAGGGGGGCAGGGGAAGGGAGGGGGGGAGGGAGGGGGGAAGGGAGGGGGGAAGGGAGGGGGGGAAGTCTAACCAGCTCACGTTCGGTTCTTGCATTACCCAAGCCCTTAGCACCCTCACTCGCACCTTCCCACTCGCTCCCATCATCCTTATCACTGCCCTCTCCAACCCCTTCCTGAACTCACTTCCAGAAGAGACGCAGCTTCCAGGTAATTCCCCTCCCCGTTGACAAACCCCGTGTCGCAGTCACACATGGGCACTTCGCTAGGCCCGTCTGCATAGCACGAGCCGTGCCCACTGAATGGGAGGTCGTCAGCACTTTCTGGTTTCTGAGAATTTAAAAAAGCCAGCACGTGGGCACTTTGCTAGGCCCGTCCTCATAGCACGATCCATGCCCACGACACGGGAGATCCCCATCACTCCCCTTTTCCTCCCCTTCCTGAACTCACCTCCAGAAGGGACACAGCTTCCAGGCAACTCTCCGTTGACAAACCCGGTGTCGCAGTCACACGTGGGCACTCTGCTGGGCCCGTCCGCATAGCACGAGCCGTGCCCACCGCACGGAAGATCGTCAGCACTTATGCCACAAAACGCGGCACAGAGCTCCGCCGGCCGCTGTACTGCTGCAGCTGCAGCAGAGGGCGTGGCTGGCGTGGGGCAGGAGTAGCCTTCAGGGGGGGTTGCAAGGCAGTTGAAGCGGAAGGAGATGGTGCCTTGGGCGCAGTTGGGTGGGGAGGAGAAGCCAGAGGAGAAGTAGTTGTTGTCAAGGTTGTAGGTGGTGAGGGTTGCTGGGATGGGCTGCAGTATTCGGCCTGTTAGCTGGTTGTTGCGCAGGTTGCTGCAATGGAGGCAGGGATTGCAGGGGAGGAGGTGGGAAAGGAGGGAGGAGGGAGGAGAAGGAATAGTGTGGATCAGGAATGTCATATTACTTGGGGTACACTTCGTTTGAGTGTACAACCAGGAATTACCGTATCTGAAGTTGAAAATCCAAAATTTGACCAATTATTTAACCCGCATGGTTGAGTCGGGAGATGATTGGACGCCAAATGATTTTGGCTCACCATTGACCAATTTTGCTGGTAGGGGCCTATTGTTGGCCAAGCAAGATCCCAACCAGGCCCCTCCTCCCTCCCAGCAACCACATATACCAGTATCGAATGCCCCCTATTCTTGTCTTTAGTTTTTTAGGGTCAAAATGGAATAGGCGAAGGTTGATTGACTGAACAGGAGTAGTCAGTCGGTTGTTGCAGTGGGTTTGGAGGGAGGTGGGGGATGCGGAAACTGAAGGTGTAGTACAAGACTAAGGAGATGAGACACAAAAGGCAAGGGACAGGAGCCATAAAATACAAGGCAGCTAAGCCACAAAACACAAGGGAGATGAGCCACCATAGACAAGAGAGATGAGCCACAAAAGACAAGAGGGATGAGCCACAAAAGACAAGGGAGATGAGACACAAAAAAAAGGACGATGAGCCACGAAAGACAAGGGATATAACACACAAAAGACAAGGGATACGAGCCACAAAAGACAAGGAAGATGAGACACAAAAAACCAAGGAGATGAGCCATAAAAGACAAGGGATGCGAGCCACGAAAGACATGGGAGATGAGGCACAAAAGACAAGGGAGAAAAGTCACACAAGACAACAGATATCCGACACACAAGACAAGGGGAGATTAGTAGCACAACAGGTGCAGTGAGCAGGGATGTGTCTGCACACGTCTTAGACTTGGTAGAAATCGTAGCAACACTGTGTAAGTCTCAAATTATGTTGTGAGTTGCACATGAGCAAATCCTCTAACTGAACTGGTATGGTTTTTTCGCCTTTAATAACGAACCAGTTCGTTGGCAAACCAATATGGGTCGAAGCGAAACGGTTCTTCGATGGTCGGTTTCGAAGTTTGTTTAGAGGGGAGGGGGGAGGGGGGGGGGGGGTGGACGCATAGGAGAGTGAATGAAATGATGTGGGGGGAGGGGGGGGGGTGTGGACGCACAGGAGAGTGAATGGAATGATGTGGGGGGAGGGGGGGGGGGGGCGTGGACGCACAGGAGAGTGAATGGAATGATGTGAGGGGAGGAGAGTGAATGGAATGATGTGGGGGGAGAAGGGGGGGGGGGGTGTGGACGCATAGGAGAGTGAATGGAATGATGTGGTGGGAAGGGGGGGGGGGGGGTGGACGCAGAGGAGAGTGAATGGAATGATGTGGGGGGAGTGGGGGGGGTGTGGACGCACAGGAGAGTGAATGGAATGATGTGGGGGGAGGGGGGGGGGTGTGGACGCACAGGAGAGTGAGGCGGACAAGGCCTGTGAGATGAGTGGGGATGATTCCGTACAGACGGTTGTTGCTCAGGTCACTGCAGGGGAAGAGAAAGGAGAGTTATAGGGTGTGAAAGGGGATGAGACACAGGGATTTGAAGGGAGGATAACAGGGAGGGGAATACATATGTGTATCAGGAAGAAAAGAATGATAGGCGTGCAGGATAGCCCAGCCAGTGTCCTGACCGCTCACATGGTGTGAAGTGAAGGGGGTGATGGAGCAGAGAGCACTTATCGGGCCGGGTCTCCAGCTTCAACAACCGCCCGAAAAGCATGAGGCACACAGATCAAAGCGCACTCGCATGGCTGGGAGAAGTCAGAGCAAAAGGCACTCACAGGGCTTCCATCTTCAAGAGCCCTCCAAGAAACATGGGCAGCGTGTTGCTGATATTGTTGCAGCAGATCTTGCTGAGGGGGGCAGAAGGAGGTGGCAGAGAGAGGGAGCAGAATGAAGGGGTAGAGAACGAAGAGGTAGAGGGAGAGGGAAGACACGTGGGTGGGTTGGGTAGGGGAGAGGAAGGTGGGAAGGGGAGTTGTGGGTTGAAGACCGAAGGGCCAAGAGTGAAGGCGAAAGGGACGTTGTGGGACTGGTGAACGGCAAGCATAAAGCTGAAAAGGCGATCAGGAGAAGGGGAGAAGTAAAGCAGGGGAGTGGGGGAAAACACGGAACAAGCATATGGGGCACTGACAAGACGTGTAGGTTGGTGGAATACTGAAAGTGTTTCCAGTTTGGTGAGGGTGGAGTACTGTGAAGGTATGGAGCCCGTTAACTCATTGCCACCCAAGTTGCTGTGGTTAGGAAGGATGCGGATGTGATGGGAGTGAGGAGGGAAATGGGGGGAGGGGAGGGTGGGTGGGAGTAAGGGAGTGGGGAAGAGAGGGAGGAGGAAAAATGATGTAAAGAGAGGAGGGATTACGAAAGTGGAGGCAGAAGGAAAGAAAGGACTGAGCGCAACATGTTATATGAAAAGACCCCACACACAATGCCCTTATCAACCAGAGTCACAGAAGCAGGGAAGAGTGAGGGCGGAATGGGGAGGGCGTAAGGAGGGAAGCTGGGGGAGGACAGAAGAGGGCAGGCCAAAGCAGCACAGATAGTGCCTTGAGGTGCTTAAAAGACAATTTACAAGCAGACCACCTGCGGAGATAACTAGTGCAACGGGAGCTAGACTACGGGCTAGGCACGGGGCAAGAGTGATCGTAGCGTTCGTTCGTTCCTTAGTCGTTTCCAAGTGCTAACAATACTTGCTAGTTCACGGGGAGAATTGGCAAGAGTTTCACTAGGAAAACATGACAACAAAAGTTCAGAATGATTGAATCAACATTGGCAACACAGACTACATCAGACCTAGCAAGGCTGCTGGTCGATTGCCAGCGCAGCACGGTCGACCACGTGCCAGCACGACTTGGTCGACCGCAGTCCAGCAGAGCAGAGTCGCGGCTTGCCAACGTTGCCAGTCCGCGGTGTGCCAACGCTGCAGTAAGTCGGCTGCACAGCGTTGCATCCGCGGGACACCGGTGCACCTGCTTCGCAGGTGCGTGCAGCTCGTTGGCGCCCAACTCCCCGTCACATGCCCAGCGCAGACACTCCACCCGTGACGGCGCCCACCAGCCACGTCGACCTCGGGATACCACCCCCGAGGTCGTCTTCGCAGAAACCACCCCGGCGACCTTCGCCCACGTCGCCCGGGTATCCTGGTCGACCGGGTATCCCGCGGCCCCCATGGCCCCCGGTCGTCCACCCATGGCCACCGCAGTTCCCGTGGTCCCGTGGTTTCCCGCGGCCCTCCCGCGGTCCTCCCACGGTCCCGTGGTACTCGCGGTCCTCCCGCGGTTCCGCGGCCCTCCCGCGGTCCCGCGGTCCCCGCGGTCCTCCCGCGGTCCCGTGGTTCTCCCGCGGCCCCGCGGTCTTCCCGCGGTCCCGCGGTTCTCCCGCGGCCCCGCGGTCTTCCCGCGGTCCCGCGGTTCTTCCGCGGCCCCGCGGTCTTCCCGCGGTCCCGCGGTTCTCCCGCGGTCCCGCGGTGCTCCCGCAGCCCCGCGGTCTTCCCGCGGCCCCGCGGTTCTCCCGCGGCCCCGCGGTGCTCCCGCGGCCCCGCGGTTCTCCCGCGGCCCCGCGGTGCTCCCACGGCCCCGCGGTTCTCCCACGGCCCCGCAGTTGGCTCCGCCCAAGCGAGGACGGGGCCAAACACTACTCCCGTTGACACCACCAACATGGCATTGAGATGGTTAAGAGAACCTTCGAACCAAGAACTGACAGGGCGTTGAGGTATTTGAGAGAACCCTTACAAGGCAAGCACTCACGAGGCAGCCACTCACAGGTTCTTGAGGGTGGTGATCTCGCTGATGTTCAGTGGCCGTGGGCCAGACAGGTCGTTGTTGCTTAGATCACCGGGGCAGTTGGGGGGCCGCACACAGCGGTTGGGTTGGGTTGGGTTGGATCTGGTTGGGTAGGCACTTCAAATCATTACCTAAGGAGGAAAAAAATGAGTAGAAGGATATGAGAAAAGACCGGCTGCTTGGACTTGCCATGGCATGGCATCTGACATAGAATCGCACAGCATGGCATGGCATGGTAGGGCCGTATGGGAATGGAAAGATCACATGTGAGAGGGCGTATGAGAGCAGGAGCCATTGGGCGTACATGCTGGTGAGGGCACTCAAGCTATTGATGCCGTCAGGCACTGTTTCCGATAGCTTGTTGTAACTCAGGTCCCTGCAGGTGGCCGTGCAGTTGGGGAATGGAAGGGGGCAAGGAGAGAGGGTGGCAAGGGAGAGAGTGCAGGGGGGAAAGGGGCAAGGGAAAGGGGAAACGTAGAGAGGCCAAGGGAGAGGGGTTGGGGAAGAAAAAGCCAAGGGAGATGAAGAGAGAAGAGAGGGGCTATTGAAAAGGAGCAGCAGCTGATGGGGAGGGGCTGTGATAGAGAGGCTGAAAGTCATTGAGAAGGTTATAAGGTGGTAATGCGCAAGAGAGTGAGAAATTGATAACAGTGCAGAGAGGACAGTGATGGAGTGATAACAAGCAGGAGAATGAAGACATACAAGGAAGAAAGCGGACGAATTGCACGTACACACGTGCAAGCACCGCACTGAACCGAACTGCGGTTTGGTGTTTCAGTCATGCATACTCTACAGTGTACGCAGTGAACAAGAAAATGTTACAAGGGATACAGCACCTGCAGCTCACTTGCTTGCTTGTATGTGTTGCGGCTTCTTATTCACGCTAGACCGGCCAAATCAAACTTTCACAGATAACCAAGTGTGTTGTGATGTGAGCAATCGGATAAGAGAAATGGGATGCACGCAATTGGTTGGAATAGTTACAGCTTTTGAAGGCTGGTTATACGTGCAAGCACATCTGCTGGAACGGAACATGTAAGAACGTGGTTGGAAAGAGATCTGTTGAGTGCAGCAAAGAGATAGAGAGACAGAAAGACAAAGGGATAGCAAGACAGGGAGATATAAATATGGAGAGATAGAGACGTGGAAAGATGGAGAGACTGAAGAAAGGCATAGGGATAGAGGAAAGAGGCAACGGAATGCAGGAGAGCAGGAAATTGACAGTTTATTAGCTGGTGAGAATTGACAGAGTGCATTAAATTTCATTACAAAATAAAGGAGATCCAGTTGGTGAGAGAAATGCCAGTAGAATGATTGTGGTATGCAGCAGACAGACAGCGTGTCAGCACATGTGGAACACATGATGATATTAGTGCGACTTTTGAAAACTCGCACCAATGGTTGTGGTATGCACCACCAGACAGACAGCGTGTCAGCACATGTGGATCACATGAGAGGAGGGTTGAGCAGATGAGTTTCTTGTGGTGCCTCAACCAAAGGGATGGGTGAGTAAGTGAGTGGAGAGCAGACATGGGGAGTGCAGATGGGGGAAAAACATACAGCATCTCAAGGGCAGTGAGGGTGCTGATAGATGAAGCGATCGAGTTTGAGAGACGATTGAAGCTCAAATTCCTGCATGAGTGAGAAAAAGGGGTGAGGAGGGGGTGGGGGGGTGGAGGGAGGGGTGGGGAGCGGGGGACATGAGGACATGAGGACAAAAGAACATGAGCCCAACCCAAAGCCCAGTGCGATCTCCTTTAACCACAAAGAAGCGCACTATTGAAAGACTTTACTGCTATCTCCACCATAAACTTGCAGGCCAATTTCCTGCTGCAACAAATATGCTGCACCAGATTTGAACTTGTCGCAACAAGGGCATTTACACCTGAAGGTTTTAAGACGCTTTTGGCTCATTTTGTTTTTCTTCTGTATGGGCTAAAATGAACCTCAAGCAGGACTCATAGAGAACTAGTTTGTCCCCTTCGGGCAACCCGAGCAATATTTGTGTAGTTTCTCAGTACAAGGGGGTGTGAGAAGGAACTTTCCACACAAAACACAATTAAAGCACTGAGGTCGGCTCACTCTAAGAATGTGAGGCTAGCCAAGCTTACAACAATGACGATGCAAAACTATTATATGGACTGGGCCAATGCCTAATGAATATCTGATGCGGAGAAAATCGGCAAGTATGCCACGCCATTTAAAGGGTGATGCTTTCCATATGCCCAGCAGACCTGAAGAGCTGCACTCACAGCCCAGTGGCATATGTACGCTCAAGTGCCAAAAGTACAGAAAAGACTTCAATGCAATCGTTGTTTTTTGCCTCAACCCGTTCATAAAAGGGCCAAAAATGGTCGCCTTTCGGATTTTCAAAGCTTGTCTTGGGGTCTGCCCAGCCTTGTTTCTTGGCCCAGACCAATTGACAGCCCTGAACCAGATCCTAAAGAAGTTCAAACGGTTTTGCATTTATTTGAGAAAAGGTTATAGGTGGCTAGGAGAGTCAAAAAGGTCACAACATAGTGAGCTTACAGGGTGGTGAGTTTGGTGAGGAGGGAGAGGGATGATGGCATGGATCCAGACAGCTGATTCTGACTCAGGTCCCTGTGGCATAGCACGGCATGGAGTGTGTGTGGTGTGGCCAGGCGGTGATAGCATGTCATGGCATCACACACCATGGCATGGCACAGTATTGCATAATAGATAATCACATTGATCAAAGGGAGGACAAAGATGGAGTAAAAGACAAGAAACATGCAAGAAACACGAAGGCACAATATACAGCATAAGCTGAAACCTCATGAGAAAGGGAGGAGAAGCAAGCAGGCCCTGTGAGAAATGGAGAGATCAGGTGTGCTGCTGCTGTGAGAGATGGTAAGGAAGGCTCATGAAAACACACAGATCCATGCTGTAACCATTCACCCCATGGTAACCATCCCCACCACACAACCCAGTTATGCTGCACCCATCCCCACAACACACACTCATGACTCATACTGCACCCATCCTCACCACACCCAGTCATGCTGTACCCTTTCTCACAAAGGACACATAGCATGTTTGAAGAAGCTCCAGCACTCACAGTTGAGGCGCCTTGGTGAGCGCAGCAATAAGCGGCTCTGGAATGGAGCCCGAGAGAAGGTTGGAAGACAGGGCCCTGAAGTGAGTGGGGTTTGGTGCGGTGGTGAGGATTGAGAGAGTGGTAAGGAGAGATGTGGGTGGTTGGAAGGCTTGCGCGTGGTACGGAACATTGAAACGGTGTTGGATTGGA